TATCTTCTTTATAATTGACCCTTTTTTGTCACTTGTAATAATTTTTTACTTAAAGTCTATTTTGTCTGGCATTACTATAGACATGCAAAGCTCCCTTTTGGTTACTATTTGTATGGAATATCTTTCCATACCTTCACTTTCAACCTGTATGTATATATTTGGATATAAAGTGAATCTCTTGTGGGCAACATATAGTTGGATTTTTTTTTTTTTTTTTTTTTGGTGGTACGCGGGCCTCTCACTGCTGTGGCCTCTCCCGTTGCGGAGCACAGGCTCTGGACGCACAGGCTCAGCGGCCATGGCTCACGGGCCTAGCCGCTCCGCGGCATGTGGGATCTTCCCGGACTGGGGCATGAACCCGTGTCCCCTGCATCGGCAGGCGGACTCTCAACCACTGTGCCACCAGGGAAGCCCTGGATTTTTTTTTTTTAATGCATGCTGCCATTTATTTCCTTTTGATTGAAGAGTTTAATCTGTTTACATGTAAATCAGTTGTTCATAAAATAGGTCTTACTCTTGCCATTTTGCTATTTGCTTTCTATATGATATCTTTAATGTTTCTTAATTCTTTTATCACTACCTTCTTTTGTGTTTAATTGATTTTTTGTAATGTTCCATTTTGATTTCCTTCTCATTTCCTCTTCTGTATATTTTAAAGTTATTTTCTTACTGGAGGGTTACAAGTGACATCTTAAATTATTAACAAACTAGTTTGAAGTAATACCAATTTAGCTTCAGTAGTATACAAACACTCTGCTCCTTATATACCTCTGTCCCTCCCCCGCTATGTTGTTATTGTCACAAATTATGTCGTTATACACTGTATTTTCATTAACACTGATTTTAAATTGTTGTCTTATGCCTTTGTCTTTTAAATCATATAGAAAAAAAGAGGAGTTACAAACCAAAAATACAATAATACTGGCTTTTATATTTATTTATATAGTTACCTTTACCAGTGTTCATCATTTCTTCATGTGACTTCAGGTTCCTGTCTCATGTCCTTTCACTTAACCCTGAAGGACTCTCGTTAGCATTTCTTGTAGAGCAGGTCTACTGGCCACAAATTCCCTCAACTTTTGTTATATGTGAAGTCTCTCCCCATTTTTAAATTTTTATTTTATTTATTTATTTAGCCACACCATGCCACATGTGGGATCTTAGTTCCCTGATCAGGGATCAAACCCACACTCCCTGCATCGGAAATGCAGTCTTAACCACTGGACCGCCAGGGAAGTCCCCAGTTTCTCCATTTTCGAAGGATGGTTTTGCTTGGTATAGAATGCTTGGTTGACAATTTTTTCTTTATAGTACTTTAAATGTGTAGTCTCACTGCCTTCTGGTTTCCATGATTTCTGATGAGAAATCAACTGTTAATTTTATTGAGGATCCTTTCTATGGGATAAATCATTTGTCTCATGTTGCTTTTAAGACTTTCTCTTTTGGATTTGGCTTTCAATACTTTGTGGTATGTCTTGATGTGGATTTCTTTTAGTTTGTTTATCCTACTTGGAGTTTTTTAAGCTTCTTTAATGTGTTGATTCTTTTATCAAATTTGAAGTTTTTGGCTATTATTTTTTTAAATATTTTTTATGCCCTTTTCCTGTTCTCCTTTCTGGTACTCCTGTAATGTATACATTGGTATTCTCCATGGTGTTCCATAAATCCCTTGGACTTTATTTATTTTTCTTTATACTTTTTTCTTTCTGATCCTTAGGCTAGGTAATTTCATTTGACCTATTTTCAGGTTTAGTGATTCTTCTCTTTGCCTTTCAAATTTGCTATTGAACCCTAGTGAATTTTTTATTTATTTATTTTAAAGGGATACCATATATATAGGCATACCACATGTTTATTTATTTATTTATTTATGGCTGTGTTGGGTCTTCATTGCTGTGCATGGGCTTTCTCTAGTTGTGTCGACTGGGGGCTACTCTTCGTTGCGGTGCTCAGGCTTCTCATTGCGGTGGCTTCTCGTTGCAGAGCACGGGCTCTAGGCACATGGGCTTCAGTAGCTGCAGCACATGGGCTCAGTAGTTGTGGCACGCGGGCTCTAGAGCACAGGCTGAGTAGTTGTGGCACATGGGCTTAGCTGCTCTGTGGCATGTGGGATCTTCCTGGACCAGGGATCGAACTGCATTGGCAGGCAGATTCTTAACCACTGCGCCACCAGGGAAGTCCCTGAATTTTTTATTTTAGTTATTATACTTTTTAGCTCCATGTTTCTACTTGGTTCCTTTTATAATTTCTGTCTCTTTATTGATATTCCCTATTTGATGAGACATCATTCTCCTGGTTTCCTTTAGTTCTTTGTCCACAATTTCTTTGATCGCTTTCAGTATATTTAAAACAGCTGATTTAAAGTCTTTGTTTAATGAGTCCAATCTGGGCTTCCTGTTAATTTCTTTTTTCCGTGAATGGAACCCGTGTCCTCTGCATTGGCCGACGGATTCTTAACCACTGCGCCACCAGGGAAGTCCACTTTCTTCTTTTCTTGCATGCCTGTCTCGTAGTTTTTTGTTGAAAACTGGATATTTTGATTGTTATAATGTGGTAACTTTGGAAATCAAATTCTCCCCCTCCCCAAGGTTTGTTGTGGGTTGTAATTGTTTAGTGACTTTTCTAAACTATGTAAGGATTGTATTCTTTTTCATGTGTGGTCACTGGAGTCACTATTCCATTATCTTAGTGGTCAGCTAGTGATTTGACAGCAGTTTCTTTGAATGTCAAAATTCAGCAGCTTCTTTCTTCATTAAGCCATTTCTTGGCTGTTGTAAGTTAGATTCCAGAGTTCTGAAAAAGTTGATTCTGAGAGTTTATGCCAGTTTAAGTTTGCTTTGGTGGAGGGATAGCTTCTTGGATTTCACTACTCTGCCATTTTCAGTGATGTCACTTGATCCTCATTTATTCTTCATTCTACAGTTAACTATATATTTAATCCTTATGTTGACGTCTCTCTAGTTATTTTTGTTGTCATTGCTTATTCTTGAGAAGATTTGTCAGGAACAGTTCGTGGGACAGTGTCTCCTGAGTTTTTGCATGTTGGTAACAGTTTTTGCCCTTTATACTTGAAAGTCACTTTGCTGGATAGAAAATGCTTGGCTCACATTATCTTTCCTTGTCTATCTTAAATATGTTAACCCATTTTCTTATGGTTACTGAAATGTCTGATGTCTTTCTTTCCCTTTTAAGTGACTTGCTGCTTTTGCCTAAAAGCCCAAAGAATTTTTTTTCTTTTTAAACCTAGTTATTTTACTCAAGAGTGTGTCGTGGTATTGGTTTTTATAGTAGATGTTTTTTTTCTTTTTTTGTGTGGCTGCGCCATGTGGCTTCTGGTATGCTTTTTTTCTTTTCCTTTTATTTTTTTTTTAATTGAAATATAGTTGATTTACAGTTTTGTACACTTTTCCTTTTATTTTAAAGAGTAACTTTGTTTGGGGCTTGCTTGGCATGGGTCCCTTTTTTGTTTTTCATTTTTAAGTGATACTGGTTTTTCTGAATTTTTAGAAGTTGGTGTGGTTCAGGGCAGCTAACTTGCCAAGAAAGAACTCCATTTTCTAATGCTTTTTATGTTTCAAAATATGGCAGCTTGCTTTCTGATATTTCCTTGTTGTGTTCCTATTTATATGTTATGTCCTTACTTTTTTTTTTTTTTTGAGGTACGTGGGCCTCTCAGTGTTGTGGCCTCTCCCGTTGCGGAGCACAGGCTCTGGACAGGCAGGCTCAGCGGCCATGGCTCACGGGCCCAGCCGCACCGCGGCATGTGGGATCTTCCCGGACCGGGGCACGAACCCACGTCCCCTGCATCGGCAGGTGGACTCTCAACCACTGCACCACCAGGGAAGCCCTGTTATGTCCTTACTTTTATGTGTACTTCTTTACTTTGTCTCTCTTGTCCCTATCCTGATCAATTTTGTTTCCATTCCCAGCAGTTTCTCCTCAGTATATGCCTTTGTCCTGAAAGGAGCCCTGGCAAGTTAGTTTTGAGAGCTCACCAGGCCTTGATTTCTCCAGCCCCTTCAGGCCTTACTGCCAAGCCCTGCACTCAACCACTATTGGAGTGGATGACCCCCCACCCCCACCCTGCTAAGTTCAACTACTGTTCAGTTTGGCCAGTGTGCTTTCCAGTGAATACCTGCTGGCTACTTTGAGGTTAGAATACCTCATTGCTCCTCTCTGCTTTCTCCCATATACATGTTGAGGACATGTAGGTCTTATGACTGGAGGTAATTTGTTCCTACCTGCTTGTATTTGGGGAATTATGAGAATATCTTGTTCACCTACTTTTGTTATAAATATTGTCCATGGGGTTTTGCTTTTGCTTTCAGGTTTCTCTTTTTCACGTGGGAATTTTGGATTAAAAATCTATGATGCTGCTGTCATCATCTCAGAGTCCAGGCTTTCATATTTTGAAATTTCTTTATATGTTATCTCTTTGTCTCCCTGAGTTGCATTCTGAATAACGTCTTTAGTTCTGTCTTTCAATTCAGTTAATTTTCTTTTCAACTGTGTCAAATCTTTGGTTTTTAATATGTTTTATTTGTCATTTCTAGAATAGTTCTATTTTGTTCCTTTTCAGCTCTGCTTGGTTGTTCTCTCTAGTTTCTGGTTGGCTACTCATACTTTTAATCTTGTCAAAGTTCTTTTATTTCTTTAAGCATAGTTATTTTATAGTCTGTTAGATAATTCCAGCATTTGAAGCTAGACTCTGTTGTTTCTGCTGCTTCTTGCTCGTGGTACCTTGTTTCCTTTTGTGCTTAGTGATTTGCGCTACCCATTTTCCTTAGAAATTGATTTGTGGGGATGTTTTATGGACTGGACTGAAGATGGGGCATGGTAATACATGGTAGCATTTTGTGTCTTTTTTTTCTTGCAAGGCATTACACTAAGGCTGTTTATCTGCAACTTACTTTTATTTCACCATGCAATAGTATATCATAGTGCTGTCATTGAAGTGGTTGTAATGAATTGCCCTTTGCCTTGTTCTCTGGGGACTGTAGGTGTATCCTGAGTTTGAAGATCAGAGAGCTTGTCTGCCATCAGGATCTTTTCTGACTTGTTCCTCAGACAATACCATCCGCTTCTGGAACATGGACGGCAGCCCTGACTCTCACTGGCAGAAGAACATCTTCAGTAATGTAAGGAGCTTCATTGTGAACCATCTTTTAGGAGGAACAAAGGCCTACTTGAATCTAGGATAGGGGGTGAGGGGGGAGTTTTATGGAACCTCAGTGTTAAGCTTCACTAGGGACAGGAACCAGGAACCAAGGCTGGTCACTCTCTGTCTCCTATCTCATTTCTCTCTCTCTCCCTCTCTTTCTTTCTAGGTGACATGGTCTTTCCTCTCTGCTTTTTTTTTAAATATATATATTTATTTATTTATTTATTTTATTTTTGGCTGTGTTGGGTCTTGGTTGTGGTCCTCTCTGCTTTTCTTTACCACTCAACTCCTGCTGTCTCGGTGTGTGTGGACACAGCCACTCCAGGCAGCCCGACATACTCAACAAAGAAGAAATTGCTCCTCAAGTCTTGAGTTAGAACTCCCTGGGAGAGCACCTGATGGGCCAAACCAGGCAGGGGTGTCTCCTGTCTAGCTAGCTGCCACGCACTGAAGCCTGAGGTGGAGGTGCTGGCAGGATCCCAAAGAGAGCCATGATGAGAGGCTGGGGAGAAAAACTTTACTGAAGAAATAGTTGGTGTTGCTAGGTCAGTGAGGGAGCTTCTCTGAGGAGCTGAGGCCTGAATCATGCATTTGTTGATTCTACAGACAGTTATTAAGGTCAGTGCTAGGTGCTGTGCTGCATGCTGGGGACACATCAGTGACTAAGGCAGACCCTTCTCCTGCCCCCATGACACCTACAGTCTAGTAGGGAGAGGCAGCCAGCCAATAACTGCACAAATTATGATACAATCACAAGCATAATAAGCACCATGAAAGAAAGTTGTAAGGTATGAGTAAGATATATCTAAAATCAGTCATCTGATTTTATCTGTGGCATTAGGGGCAGCCTCCTGGAGGAGGAGATAACCGAACTGAGATATGAAGGATTGGGAGGAGTAAAGAGGGGAGGGGAGAGTGTTCTACACCAAGGGACAAAGGCCTTATGGCTGCAAAGAGCTTGATGAGTTGGAAAACCCAAAAGAGGTTAGTGTGGCTGGAAGAAAAAAAGCTCTTAATGCAGGGTGTGTATAGCAAATGCTCTTTTACGACTCCCCTCACCAGCACCCCACGTCCCCCTGCCATACTACCATCTTCTCTTCTGCATCTGTGATAACCATGTTATATTTGGTTGCACACAATAGAAAAACCCAAAGCGAGGTAAAAGTTTGATTTTCTGACTTGTAAAAATAGTCTAGAGGTAACTAGTCCAGGCTGTTTTGACAGCTGTAGGAAGCCCTTAGAGACCCAAGAGCCGTCCAGCTCTCCACTCTGCCCATTTTGAAGGAGTGGCCCTTGTCATCGTGGTCCAGAATGGCTGCTGGTGCTCCAGTCATCACATCCAAGTTCCAGGCAGCAGGATAATGGGAAAGAAGAAGAAGAGTTTTCACTTGCTTTACACCTCATTGACCAGAATTTATTGACACAGCTTCATCTAGATGCAAGGGAGTCTGGGAAGCATAGTTATTATTCTGAGTCGTGAAGCTCCCAGGTCAAAATTGGAATTCTGTTACTAATGAAGAATGGGAGACTATCAGGAGAAAAAAATTGCAGAGGTGCTCCAGAGCTTCTCATAGCACTGACCTAAGTCCTTTCCCGCTTGCAGACCCTGCTGAAGGTTGTGTATGTGGAGAATGACATCCAGCACCTGCAGAACATGTCACACTTCCCAGACCGGGGAAGTGAGAATGGGATGCCTGTGGACATGAAAGCTGGGGTACGAGTCATGCAGGTCAGTCCTGACGGCCAACACTTGGCTTCAGGCGACCGAAGTGGAAATCTGAGGCAAGTGGGCCCTGGCGTTGTCCAGTGTACATCTCCCAGCTTGGGCTCAGGTACTAAGGGCAGTGGGGAGGAGCCCTGGCCTTGGCACCTCCAGCTGCCTGTTGGGAATGAAGGACTGTGAGTAGCAATCTGGTAGCCAGCCACCCCTGGGAACATAAGCTGAGAAGGGGCTTCCAGAAGGGCTAGCTCAGGGTAGATCAGGGTAGCTACCGGGACCTCAGCAGCTGGGCCATGTGAACTCTGCCTGCAGGGTGGACAGGCAAACTTGCAAGACTCTTGGGCATGGTGACACCTTCTCAGCCACATGGTACCACTGCTGACCCATC